GTCCAATACACACTCAGTATAAAGCGTGCCAGAATCTTTCTGCAAAACAGTAGCACGCCATTGGTTGAAACTTTCCAACACACCCTGATGAAGATAAAAAGGTATAAAAGAGGTTGATGTTAAGACTTCTGAGAGATTTTTGTTGAAACTTTGGAAGATTTTTTGGAGTACTGAAATAATTGAAGAAACTGTAATGAGGAATCCGTGGTAGTGTAATAAATCTCCGGCTCGTCTATGGCCTAGCAGCAAGAACTACGTCTCTGTGCGTTATTTCTTTTACTTAGATATTTAAGAGTATAGCCACCTTTCAATTCTTAAATAATATTAAGTGAGTAACAGAGCTGCAGGTTGCACAGCCGTGATCTAGCAAAGCAAAACTGTAATCCTGTCTTAATCCAGCTGAAGCTAAAAGTGCAAAATCCTCAAGACTGTTAAATTGAATATTAATACATTTTAATGTGAATTTGAGAGACCAAGCTGCGTCTGTTGCAAAAAATGAAAAACACCAGTTTTTAACAGTAAAGTATTGAACGAGGATGATCCATGAGATAGTCATCAATTAAATTATATTAATGACGTCATCCTGTGTTCCCACAGACCTCCAACAGCCAAGTGTCTCCTATGAGGAAGAAGCTTCTGGCATTCAACAAGACTTCAGCCTGGCAAACAAGTTCAATCATAACGAGAAAGTACATCAGTGGACTGAAGAGGAACAGATGGGACTAGAACCAAAATGGATTAAAAAAGAAGAGGATGAGCCAGACCCTACACTGCTCAAACATGAGGAATTGGAATATCCACTAACTTATATAAGAAAAGAGGAGCTAGATTCTTCAGTGCTTCAACATGAACAGCAGCCACCAGAACATTTACCAACTGGACAGGACCAGAAGGACCTCTGCAGCAGTCAGGAGGGAGAGCAGCTTGTCCAGAAGCAGGTTGTTGCTTTGATTGAGACTTCTACTCTTCAGGGAGATGATATGAGTGAAGAAGAGACAAGAACAGAGCAGCTTTCCCTTCGTGTCTCTCCAGTGGTTGAGAGCAAAGATCAGGAAGGAAGCAGCTCCTCTGAGTCAGAGAGTCAGTCTGATATTGGCACAAAGAAAAAATCTTACAAATGTGACATTTGTGGGAGATGTTACACACAACGGTGGAAGTTGAAAAACCATTACAAAACCCACACTGGTGAGAGACCTTTTTCATGTGAAACATGTGGAAAAAGTTTCTGTCGAATTAGTGATTTGAAAGTCCACAAGAAAATTCATACAGGCGAGAGGCCTTTTTCATGCGAATTATGCAGAAAAACTTTCTCACGAAATAGAGATTTAAATGACCATAAGCGAATTCATACAGGGGAGAGACCTTTTTCATGCGAATCATGCAAAAAAAGGTTCACAC